GATTGTGCTCACTTATGTTTTCGTGGGGGGGGGGGGGGGGGGGAAATCAGTCAAGCCTTTACCTTTAGTTGTTCTGCAAGTTCATTTGAGTCCCTGAATATCAGACCATTTTCATTGTGTTTCACAAGTTCATGTAAACTGTGAACAAAAGTCATAGAGGAAAACGTGAGGCAAAAAGCAGCAGGTGGGACATACACGTTTAAAAAGTTGCATAGTGACATCCGAAGAGACCGTGCTAGGGTATCTGTAACACGATGATGCTGGATGTCTAGATATGAGCTTCATACCTGACAAAATGGAATGAAGAAGGCAGTTTTAAAGGTTTAAATTTAAAGATTGTTTCTCCCTTCTACGTCAGGCTACCTAAATCTACCATTACAGTACGAAAGGGCCCTCACTCTGTCTCTGTGCCATTCACCTGGACATACGTTAAAAATCAGGGCAATAATCTACTTTACAATTAACCTACAAGGAAAATCTGTCCATGATCCAGTTCATGAGACCTTCACAAAGAATGTGGCTTTATTTATAAAAGCTACTGTTTCCCCAAAGGGCTGTAAATTGTAAGGCTGACTACGCATACACTCACCCCTTCACAGAACACAGACATGTCTATGCAGAAGGAAGCTTTTTTTTTTTTACGTGAAGTGTATGGAAACAAAGGATTACAGGGTAGGTTTTTAAGGCAATTGGTTGCATTAAATGCTCCCAACTTTGTAGAAACTAGTGTTAATTTTTTAACTGACCTTAAATAAAACAACCTTGATTTCTAATTTATCCTATGGAATTAAAAAAAAAGTTACTATGGCACAGAACTGGAATCTCATTTGATACATGCAGAAGCTGCTGAACTCTTGCTTTCTAAGAATACTGCTTTACACGAGCCACTTAAACTGTATCAGAGTAAGCAAGCTCTTACCATTCAAAATGTATTGCACACACAGGTAAACAACAGCCAAACATATCTACCACCTTCATGGGTAAATCCAAACCGCTAGAGGATTTATGGAGACACACCCCCAGATCCGCTGAGCCTGAAAAGCAAACAGACAAGAGTCTGAATTCTCCGAAAGCTGCTCTTCTAGTCTTACTGCAAACCTTTCTATTTACGTACTACTTTGAGTGATGCAAGCTAAACATGAGCTACCTTCAACACCATCCAGACTGACCCAATTTCAAGCACTCAGGGGGGAAAAAAAAAAAGCACGATATATTTTGTTACTAAAATTAGTCAGGCTTTAGAAACATACCAGGCGAGTGCATATTAAATTAAAGGGAATTTTAAAATTTCATGTATCTTGAAACAGCCTTTCTGCCTCTTAATCTGCTAAGAATGGGTAAATGCACAGGAAAACTCCATCACAATCCAGACATGATATGCTGCATGGCTCACTAGCGACCTCTTCCAGTTCAAGCGATTTCAAAGTAGAGAAATCACAGCATCATTTTATAGACGTTATATTCATTAGTTAAAAAGTACCAAATAAACAGTGTTTTACAGCCATATAAATCGGCAGGCTCTAACCCTGCAGAACGTAGATCAAGTTGAATATGTATTTTACTACTTCATTAAGCTTACTCACACTTTATGTTAATACAATGAACACGCTGAGG